CCCCCTGCCGCTGTCAAGCTTCTTCTCGCTGTTCTCGGCGTTCTTGCTCTGGGCTGCCTTGGTCCGCCACCAACGCCCGCTCTCTCGCTCGCCCCAAGTTTTCCAGTCCGCGCCGCCCCAGTCTCTGTAGGCGGTCTCGGGCTCCTTCTTCGGGCGCTGGAGGAGGTCGTCGTCGGTCTCCTGCAGCGCCGCGCTCGCCTCCGCAAGGTTCTGGAGGTGGACTTCTTCCTGAGCGCCCGCGCGCTGCAGCTGGCCTTTAGCCTCCTGGATAGCAATCACCTCGGCCTCGAGGACGTCGAGGCGCCCGTTCAAGACGCCGCCGACGGAACTCCAGCGCCCCCTGCGCCGGGGTAGACCAGAGAGAAGCATCCGAAGCAGATGAACAGCTACGCGCAAGGCAAACCTCGGCGGCGTCTGCGTCGCCTGACGCGCAGCTATTCAAAGGCTTCGGCGTGCGTCTCTCCGTTCTAGACCCTCGGTGTAGTCTGCGCCCGCTCGCTGGACCGCCTCCGCGGCCCTCTCCCCCGCTGCCTTCAGCTCCGCGGCGCGCTGGTCCTTGAGCTCGGTCAGCTCCGCGGCGCGCTGGTCCTTGAGCTCCTTCACCTCGGCGGCGTAGTCGGAGGAGAGCTTGGCGGGGCGCGCCCGGGAGAGGTCGAGGCGCTTCTGCAGGTCGCAGCGGGCTACTGCGGCCGCCGCGCAACGGTTGTCTCTGTCAGCCTCCGCCGCAGCGAGTTTCGTGAGGAGGTCGCTGTTCCTGAGTGCCGCCAGCGTCGCCCGCTGCCGGCAGCGCTGCGCGGCCGCCGTCGCTGCGGCCGCGGCCGCCTCGGCTGTCTCCGCTCTCGTCAACGCGGCTGCTTCCGCGAAGAGAGCGGCCCAGAGGTCAGCGTCGTCCTCTGGGTCGGTCTGCGTGCCGCGGGCGCAGCGGAGCCGGCTGTGTCGAGGGTGTCGCTCCGGGCTCCGATGAGGCCGGCGGTTGCAAGGACCGGACATCCAGTGCAGGCGGAGCGTCGTGGTGGTTGGTTTGGAGGGCGCGGCTTGAGCCCGAGTGCCTCGTCGGCATCGTCGTCGTCGCGTCGCCGCCGCCGTTGCGCCGTCGTCGTTCCGGGGTCACGTGGGAGTGCTCAAGGGAAGCGCGCTCGTCGTCGTCGTAATCGTCGTGGCTACCAGGGAGTGGTCCAGGAAGCCGTTTTCGTCGTCGTCGTGGGTCAGTGGGAGTGCTCAAGGGAGCCGTTTTCGTCGTCGCCGTGGTTTCGGTGGAGAGTGGAGCCGTTGTCGTCGTCCTCGTCGTCGTGGCCGTTGGGCTGGAGCACCCGGGACTGCTTGGGAGCGCTCAAGTGAGTCGTCGTCGTCGTCGTCGCGCGCTGTCGTTCCCTTGGGACACTCGGAGAGCGGTGGTGATCAGTGTCGTCGTCGTCGACGACGTGCCCTGGCTCCCTTGAGCACTTTCAATTTCCAGGGCGCTTCGGAGCGGCTCCAAGTAATCGTGGTCGTTTTCGTCGTCGTCGTCGTCGCTTTCTGGCTCCTTGAAAGCCTCCCTGGAACGCTTCCCAAGAGACCCCCCCCCCGATGCACCCAAAACTCCCCAAGAGGCCCCAATAGGACTCCAAGATGCTCTCGGCTGAAATCCGAAGGGACTCCGAGAAGCATCCAAGAGGCTTCTGGCATTTCTGCTCGCCCTCCTCCTTTTCCTCTTCCTCCTCCTCCTCCTCCTCTTCCTCCTCCTCCTGCTTTTCCTCTTCCTCTTCCTCATCCTCTTCCTCCTCCTCCTCCTCCTCCTCCTCCTCCTCCTCCTCCTCCTCCTCGTCCTCCTCCGCCTATTCCTCCTCATTCCTCCTCCCTCCCTCCCCCCTTTCTTCCTACTCATCCTCCTCATCCTGCTCCTCCGATTCCTCCTCCATCCTCCCCCTCTTGGGGTACGACGGCTTTCTCAACCCTTTACTCAAGTGCATGCTCTTCCACATCCCTGAACAGGGCAACTCGTCTGGGCATCGTTTCTGGACGTGTTGGAGGGCTTACTTTCTTGGTCCGCGGGCGCGCGAAAACGAGTCGAACGCCGAGCGTGCTAGGGCGGGCCCCTTCCGTAGCAAGCTGGTGGGTTTACTTTTTGGTCTGCGGGCTCGCGAAGCAGGTCGAAAGCCGTCCGAACACTAGTCGGGCCGCGACGAGGCAGCAAGAAAAGAGAGACAAGCGAAACGAGCGCGCGGGCAGCCACTCAGAAGAAGAGCCAGAAACGAAACTCCCAACCCGGTGGCGTGGAGATCCCTGTGGCGACCAGCAAGTAAGCGCAGCCAAAATGGCGCGGCGGCGCGACCATAAACACGCAGAGGTCAATCACTCGGTGTGAATCGGCGCAGGCACCGTCAGGACCGAGCTGGTGGGCTTACTTTTTTGGTCGCGGCCGCGCAGCAGATGGCAGGCGGCGAAAGGGTGTCCGAGCCGACGGGCAAACCTAATCTGGTGGGCTTACGCGAAACGTCTAGAACTACTCCTCCCTGTCGCATCCACACACGTGTCGGGAGAGCGGGCCCGGCGTTTCGCCTGAGAGTTCTCCGCAGCTTATGATCCTGATGCTGAGAAATGTGCAATAGTTTCACGGGTGGAGGGCGGTCCTTTTCAAAATGTGGCCCTCGCCCTAGCGCTGCGCACATTCGTCTTTTCAAGCTCGCAGGAGTTTCACAGGTGGAAGGGGGGTCCTTTACCAAATGTGGTTCTCGCCAGAGGGCCGCGAACATTCGTCTTAAAATGATCCAAGAAACTCACGGATGGAGGGCGGGTCTTTTCGCAAATGTGGATCTCGCCTTAGCGCCGAGCACACTCCTCGTAAGAATTAAAACAGCTTCAAAAACTATGATGCTTGACGTCCCAGAAACGGCTTTTGGCACGAGGTACAACAGACAGGGCGCAACAGTCAGGTTGATTCGCAGTGTTGACGTCCCAGGGATGGTGTTCGGCACGACTGAGGATCGTCAGTACGCAAACGTTGATTCGCAGCGTTGACGTCCCAGGATTGGTGTTTTGGCACGACTCAGAATGACCGAATGGCTATGTTCCAACGGGGCGCTTCCATGTGAAAACAAGTCCTTGCAGGTGCCTATGAAGTGGGAACTTGGAGGGAGGGTCGCTTGCAACATGGTTGATGAGTTTTTGGTTTACACTGGTCCTCCTCATCCTCCTCGTCGCCGTCGCCGTCGCCGTCGCCGTCGCCGCTTCGCCATCGTCGTCGTCGTCGTCGATATCATCCTCCTCATTCGCCTCCCCTGGTCATCAGTATCAGACGGCGACGGCCGCGGCGACGACGGCGAGGACGACGACGAACTCCGGCCGCGGAGGCGCTCCTCGGCCAGGCGCGACGCCGCGGAGGCGGCGGCCAGCTCCAGCTCGGCCTGCGGAGGGCTGGGGCGGCGGGGGAGGGCATCGGCATCGGCACCAGGGGAGGTCATCGGCGGGAGGGGGGAGGAGTGACCCGAGGAGGAGGGGGGAGGAGGCGCGACGCCGCGGGAGCGACCGCCATACTATTGCACAAAGGGCTTTCTGCACACCCACTCTCCACGCACGTCTCTGCTCGTGGGGATAGCCTGGCGGCCGCATTCTGAATGACCCCCTTAGCGCCTGCGCACCTGAAACCACGTGCCAAATGCGAGTGTGCCGAACGCATCCGCCTGATCCCTGGGCTTCGCCCTCTCCCGGCCGCGTGAGGCCCCGCCTTCTTCCACCCTTTCTCTGCTAATTAAAGCTGTGCGCGTCCCGCTCAGCTTTCAGCGGAAGAGGTTCGCTCTCGCCCTGCAGATCAAAAAAAGTGCCGAACGCATGCTGGATGCCCCCGCTCCACTCACGCATCTTCATGCCAGATGTATGCGTGTCGAACGCATGTTGGATCCCCCTCCGCGCACGTTGTGTTCGCGTGACGGACCCACCAGTCGCATGCTGGATAACTGCTCCCCTGAGGGGTCCACACACCTGAAAACACGTGCCAAATACACGCGTGCCAGACGCATGTTGGATACCCAGGCACGTTTGAAGAATCCGCTTGCTCGTGCTGGATACCCCCCCCCCCGAGAACCTACACACGCCAAAACACGTGCCAAACGCACGTGTGCCGAACGCGTGTTGGATCCACCAGCGCATGCATTCTTCGTGAAGAATATACCAGCCACTAGTTACTAGTTGGATACTCCCGTCAAGGGCCACACGTGTGAAAATACTTGCAAAATGCACACATGCCAAACACATGTTCGATACATCCCGTCCGCGCACGTATTTCTACGTTGGAAGAACCCGCCGGCCATATGCTTCATACCTTCCCTGCGGGCCTGTGCACATAAAACCACGTGCCAAATGCACGCGTGTCGAACGTATCTTAGATTATCCCGCGCACGCTTGTTCGTGAAGAATATGCCAGCCACTTGTTGGATACTACCCAGTGGGGGCCCACACGCATAAGCACACATATGCACAATGCACGCATGCCGAGCGCATGTTCGATACATTCCCTGGGGGTACGTACATCGACGTGTGACGAATTCAACATCTGCTGCTCAGAACCCTGCCAGTCTACTCCTCACCCCTCTCGTAATCCTCCTACTCCTTCTAGCCCCTGCAACTCCGCCTCGCACCTCTTCATCCCCCTGCCCCTCACCCTCCTCCTCTTCTTCCTCTTCCTCCTCCTCCTCCTCCTCATCATCATCATCATCCTCCTTCTGACCCTCATCCTCTTCCTCCCAATCGTCCACCTCCTTCTCCTCCCCTTCCTCACCCTCCAGCTCCCACATCCGCTTCGCGCTCCGCCGCTCGATTACGAGAGCCTCATCGGCAAGATCGGCACAGCCGCGGAGGATGCCCAGGGCGCGAACTCCAGCGAGCCGCAAGGCCATGGAAGTGGCGGGACCGCCGACTATCACTACGGCGCGGAACCTCCCCACGGGGGTGACAGGACCGCCGACCATTACGACGGCGCGGAACGCCCCCAGAGTGCCCCGAGTGGTCTGCACGTCTGCATCGCGGGTGAGGTCGATGACTTCGGTGAGGCCATGCAGCTCATCCTCGCAGGGCGCGACGAGTCGGCAGTTCCGGACCGTCTGCGTGCGCAGGTCACCATCCTGAGCGACGCCGCCTCGAAAGTAGCAACTGCGGATGCCGCAGGGTTCTGCCCGCCGCTGGCTGGCTGAGTATCCCCTCTCCTCCCTCTCCCGCATCCCTCCCCTGCCCTCCCGCCTCCATCCTCCGCCCCTTGCTCGACCGTGTGGTCGTCCTTTCGGCCGCACTCGGCGCCCGCGAGGCAGTCTTCTCGTCCTCGGGGCTTGCGCAATAAATTGGGGCCCCAGCGAAGTCTGGTCGACCCTCGAGTGCGCGGTGTACCGAGGAAGTGCTGCCCTGACACTGCGCCTCTCTTCCCCTGCCTCTCCTGGCGGGGCGCCTGTCCTGCGGCGCGAGGGGCGCTGCGGGCGGCAGGCGAAGAACGAACGCGTGCATGGTGCGGCGCCTCCTGCCCCCCACCCCCCCATCATCAACGACCGCACCCAGAATCGTGTACCCTCCCCCCTCATCCCCGGCCATGCCCCTCCTCTCTTCCCTCCCCTCCCACCCTCTTCCGGGAAGGAGCGCCTCCTCGGCCGCGGCCGCGGCTGGCTTGCCGCTGGACGCGGGTGGGCCCGGCGAGTGCCTGCTCGCGCGCGGGCGGGCGGACAGCGCGCCAGGGCGCGCGAACGGCGAGCGTATCCGCCGGGTGGGCCTGGGCCGTCAGCACAGAGAGGTTGCTGTAGCTCGACTATTTCCGAAAGGCCCTCCCGTTCGCATCCCCACTGCGCTCAGCGAAACTCCTAACTGCATAGGATATGTTGCTTGCGATGCCTCAGTCCGTTCCTCCTTACAGGCCGACTTTACTGACGATGTCTCCTCCAATGATACAAGAGGCGCAACTACCCAACCCATCCGCTCACCCCTCTACCCGTTCCACGAGCTTGTTGGCTACTTCAGGGTAGCGTCTGTAGTGCACTGCAGCAAGGTAGGCCGCGAAGATCGCAAAGTCTATTTGGTCCGTTTGGGGCCTCAACCCTGCCGCCCTCCCCTGAGCGCACGCACTAAATGTATCATGCGCAGGGTCGCCCCGGGAAACCTATGAAACATCAAGATTGTGCAACCAGATGCCTTCGTGATACGTGTCTCCTTTCTCCTTCCAACGAAATCTCAGTGGTAAAACAGTTGGATCTTCTTGGTCGCCTCTGGTCCTGCTCACTCTGGTGGGTCCCAATTAGCACTGTGATGTCCCGGTGCTGTAAATCGTCGCTGGTCTCTTCGAGTCTCTCATGCGTACTGGCTGCCAATGAATACAGATCGCATCAATATGCTTGTGAGACAGAGTATTGTCCCAGGCACAAAGTGATCTCAAGATGTCGGGCTGCGCTTTCGTCTAAGGACGCATGTGATCCTTGCCTCAGGCCAGTACACCTATATATATATATATATATATATATATGTATTATCATACGCACCTCTCCGAGGGAGTAGAGCTCAGAGGCGATGAATTGAAGGCCGCGCCGCGTCCGCGATTTTTCTTGCCGTTTCGCTAGGGACATCCTCGAAATTCTGAAATCGGTGGCACCCCTCACACAGATCGTGACGTCAGGGTCCAACAACACATGGGAATATCAACATTCTAACATAAAACCTTCACAAACAAAATGTAAGTCCAATGATTCCGACCCCGATTCTCAAAGAATGGCGTTTTCGCCTGAGACATCCTCCGAAAATCGAGCCCCGACGTACCTTCTGGTACCCCAGACCCCGCCTCGGAGCCTCATGGGGGCCTCCTGGAACCTCCTGGGGCCTCCTGGGGCCTCCTTGGGCCTGCGGTCTCTTGGTCGGGCCTCCTGGAGCCTCTAGCCTCTTGCGGCCTGCTGGTCGGGCCTCCTGAGGCCTCCATGGGCATCCGCGCAACCTCGATCCCAGACGACCCCTCCTGGGGCCTCCTGGAATATTTTCTGGCACCCTGGTCGGGCCTCCTGAGGCTTCCTGGGGGCCCGTGGTACACACATCGCAAGGAGTGGCACCCCCACTTGCGCTCGAGTGCGACCCCGCTATTGCACTTCACTCCCAGCAGCTATCCTCCTCCTCCTCTTCTCGTCCTTCTCTTTCCCTCCACATCTAGTGAAACAAATTGGCTGGTGAGAATCGTGCTTACACTTCTCATATTAATCGCTTCGCTCATTCCGCGCCAGCTTCCCCTTCTCCATCTCCGATCCCGCCGTCATGGTGTCTTCCTGCTCCAAACGACCTTTCAGTTTTTTGTATGAGCCTGGGCACACACATATTTATATATTATACATTGAGCTGCAGCCGGCGACCAGGAGGACTGGGAGGAGGACGAGGAGGAGGAGAGAAGGCGGCTGGCGAGAGAGCCTTCCTGGGCCATCAGTCATCGACCACAGATTGGGCAAGAGGTGGTAGGATGTTCGGGTCGGACGCACGAGAGTGTTGGTAACGAGGGAGGTGCGAATCAGCTCACGTGGCTGATTTTCCCAGCGGCCCCTGCGCCAAAGGCGCTGCTCTATCTGATTAGGCAAGCGCCCGGCGGCGGGGCCGAAACCAGCTCCCAGAAGCCGCCCCTTTCGCCCGACCTGGGCCAGGGGAGGCGCGCGCCCACGCCCGCGGTGCCTCTGGGCCTCACGCCCTCTTCAAGCGCAGCCACCCGCGGCCGCCTCCGCCCCCGTCGGGCAGGGCCAGCCCCGTGCCCCAGCCAGCGCAGGCGACAGCCCTCGATGAGCATCGCGCCGCGGCTCGTCCCGCCCTGGGCGGCACTCCGCCCGTCGCGGGTCACGAGGACGCCTTCGTTGCCGGCGCGCGCACCCCCGGTGGCCACCACCCGGTCTCCAGTGGACAGCAGGCCATCATCGCCCGCAGTCACCACCGCTGGTGCCACAGGCGGCCGCACCGCAGGCCTAGCCAGCAGCACGGCGGCGCCGCCGCCAGCAGGGGCACCGCTGTCGGCCCAGACATCGCGGCAGCCGACGTCCGAATCGGCGCGCGAGTCATGCCTGGTGGGCTCGGCGCCCTCCATCGTCGATGCAGCGGCCGTGTGTCACGAGGAAAAGGGTGAGCGGCGCAAGCGCCAACGTCTGCGCCCGCCAAGCAAAACGCAGCAAGTTAGAGGAGACGAGGAAGGAGGAACTTGGCAGAGGACTTGGGAGGAGGCGTAGGAGGTTGAAGGAGTAGGATGAGGAGACAGAAAGGTTGAAGGAGGAGAGGGAGTTCGAAAGAGGAGTCTCGAACAGGTTGGAAGAGGAGGAGGCCATAGGAGAAGGAAAAAGGCTTTTGGCGGAGGACGAGGCCGTAGGAGGGCGCAGCTTGGCGGCGACGGGGGCGGCCCGGATTTGTTGGGAAGAAGGAAGGCGGTGGCGCCTCATCCTCGGAGTGGACAGGCGCGGCTCGGCGAGCGGCTGCGGCGACGCCAGCTGGGGAGGCGACAACGGCACTCTCCCCGACCACCTCGTCAACTTGTTCGCCCTCTTCCTCCTCCTCCTCCTCCTCCTCCTCCTCCTGCTGTTCCTCCTGCTGCTCCTCCTGCTCCTCCTCATCCTTCTCCTCCACCTCCTCCCCCTCCTCCTCCTCCTCCTCCACCACCTTCCACATGTTCCACCCCTCCTCCTCCTTTCCCTACTTTGCCTCCTCCCCCTCCACTACTACGACGACTACTGCGACTGCGACTACGACTACGACTACGACTACGACTACGACTACGACTACGACTACGACTACGACTACGACTACGACTACGACTACTACTACGACTACGACTACGACTACGACTACGACTACGACTACGACTACGACTACTCACTACTACT